AATTTGTAAAATGAACTTGCACCACTTTGTATTAGAAACAATCCATTTCTACTTAAAGGGGTATCCATCAGAAAATAATAAAACTGACCGGCCAAGGCTCTGGTCAGACAACAAGAAAGTTCAGGTTGTCCTCACTTTATACATATAAACATGACAAGTTTGTTATCACTGCCAACAATTCAAGTTCGGATTAAAATGAAAAAGATATGAAAAAGAGACTATTGAACCCTCGCAGCAGCTGACATAGGAGTAACTTTAAAATTCTGACAAACTAATTACTATTATTACCTCCGTTTCTTTTTTGTTTCTTTTTTTTTCTTCCCCAGAGCAAAGTACACGAAAACCAGCTACCTATACTAAAACTTCTACTGCAGATAACGTGCTTAACTGTACACGCCTGTAAATTAAATAACGGACAATGTTTCGTGCCAGTGCATTCACCAAATGTGTAATTTTAATAAAAGCTCCACTATTTTCAATAGAACTCAATGTTATGCAAATTGGTTCCAAGAGGTTGATGACAAAAAGCAGTGAAAGCACCATCATCAATAATTTCCCCCCATCAAATTTAAATGCAATAGTGAGTGAACACTTTCATTTAAGTACAAACTTCAAGTAGATGGCAATTTTAATTTAAACGCAAGAAACGGAGCTTCGGAACTTTCACAGAATTAGACAATGATATATCATCTTCATAGATGTCGTAAAATTTTATATGCTCATTGACAAATGCTCTACTAAAGAATTAAATCTTGTTAAACCTCGTTAAGTTTTTTTTTCTTTTTCATTTTTTGCCTTGTTAATTAGTAGGAAAGAATAAAAAAGAACAATAGAATTAAGAACGCTACCTTTAGAGGCAAATCAAAACAAAAAAATATTGATGGAAAAAAAAGGGAAAGAATGAAACATTTAAAATTTTGGAAAAAAGTTATCGTCCGCGCCAAGTAGTCCATTTATATGCATGGACACTAAAACTAAAATCATGTTTTTATTTCAAAACTATTGTTTGATTCGTACTATTAAACACATCATTTACCAGAAGAAGCGAGTATCATATATACATGTTCCCGTCATACAATGTCACACTCGCCTGGCCATTGATTGGATGCCTCAGCCACTAGTATTATGTTGTCTATCCTGCGGACATTGAGACATTAGGTATTGATCGATTTAGCTAAAAAAATATATATACATAACATCTCTCTTCATCCACTTTCATTACTCAGTAACTAGGTCACTTAACTCGATCATGTCACATTTAGCGGGAAATAAGTTTAAAGTCAGGAACAAGCTGAAACGTTATTGATTCAATTTGAAAAATCAACTCCAAAAATAGAACATATTTTATTGGATTTATTAAATGATTAATTAATAATGAATAAAAAAGTAATATTGGCCCTCTTGACAGTTATAAAAGTAAAATTCAGATATTTGCGTTTGATTTCCAACTCATTTTCAAGTCTTGTTTACATAATTTTATGCAATAGGGATGCAAGGGGTGGTCTGTGAATTAAAAATAAATAATAACAGAAAAGGGATGGTCCTATTAGTCTGCTTGTATATATGAAATCAATCTTATTAAATATTGACACAATCATTGTTTTAATGATGAGCCAAAGACAAAAGTTGCCAAAGACAAAAGTCAAGTTGTCATATTTCTGTTGAAATCCCACTGTCATGAAGTAACATTCATCAAAGCCCATGGGCAACTAAGAAGAGTTAACTCATTCCAAGATTTCTGAATAATTCTCAAGATGTTTGCAAGTTTGTTATTTGATAATGCCTGACATACAGAACTCTTACAATTCTAACGATGCAGATTCATTTGTGAGGTAATTTCCAGCAACCCGTGAAAATTTGCTGCAGACGACATAGGAGAGTTCTCTCCCTTACTCCAAAATATTTCCAGCTGGAATGCTTGTCGTCATTCCTTCTTCAAGCTTTTTTTTTATTTAAAGAAAATATACAAAATAGTCTTCACATTATTTTGTGGAAATATAATAAACATATTATCTATGAACTTAATCTATATCCTTGAACAGTAACTGTTGTTAATCAATATTAAAACAAATTAAAAGAAGAAATATAGAATCTAAAAAATTTGGATTTCTACTAAAAAATGTAAAATGAATCTTGCACAAACTTTTTAACTGCCTTGATTTTATACAAAATGCAACATGTAATTTTCCTTTATCAATTTATAAGGAAAAAAGCCCTCATAAAATCTGAATAGAGTCTAAGCCATTACAAATATTGGCAACTTTTTTTTCCATCAAATACAAACTTCCTTGTAATAAATAGATACTAATTATAAAGAGATTTTAAAAAAAAGTACAAGTAAAAAAGTATACTAATAACTAATGCCATTACAATATTGCAAGTAATTGACGACCAGGATTGGAGGATGGAATTTGATACAACAAAGAAAAAACAACAACAACAAAAGCAGCAGCAAAATGGATCATAAATCCGGAACTAAAATCAGTTATAGACATTTTCCTCTCATTTACATATTAAATGCCTTTTGTCTGTGAGCAGTGAATAAACCATTCTTTTATACTAATTTATAACCGGACATCTGACACCTATGGAAGCAATCACACTTGAGTTATGTTTTTCAGCCTGAATAATTGATAATATCTGAGGAACATTTGTCTACTATCCGCTATGACTATTTCCTTTTATCTGCATAATGACGGCTAATGTTTCCATATATGTACACAATATCCAAGTGCCCGATTATTGGGTTACCGTTCACCATTTGCGAACTTCACCGGTTAACCCGTCTGGCAATTATGTGTTCAATATATGGAGATTATTTTCAAACTCGACAATATACACAGAGATCAAAAGATTATCTACACTGTCTGGGTATGTATAGAAAAAAAGCACGACTGGAGTTTGCCAAGTCATACAATATTAAATAAATTGCCATGATCAAGCTCGACATAATGACATACATTTCACTGCTGGATCAGTCGATAAAACCTGGAATTTTTACTGATTAAAAATAAACATCAAAAACAGTAGTGATCACATGCTATTATGACTGTCACCATGGCATCTCCATGCTTGTTTCTATTCTATATGGAATACACTTAATACAGAAAATTACAGTGTAACCTCCATGGAGCAACATCTGAAAATACCACTCACGAAATACTCTTTGTAAACAAAAAGAAAGCATTCACTAGTCTAAGTACTCTTTTTGACAGGCACTTTTAAGGGGAATAGGAAATAATTGTCTCCAATCAATTTAATCTTTTATAATGACCAAGCAAACATGTAAGGACAATTAAAGCACATAATAAATATATACATGTACATATAGAAGTTTTACCAACTGCCATAATACTGTATTTGATTTGCATCTAATCAGAGGTGGAACCATTGAACATTTCTATGGGTTTTTTTTTCGCATGGACACAATAAATTGTTGATTTTATATAAAATTGTCATCAAATACACAGACTTGATAGGACAAAACATTTGGGTACTAAACATAGATATACCTTGATTTAAAATGCACCGCAATTCACAGAAAATCCTAGCCATTTGTATTCTGCAAAGCAAGAACGATATAAAAACACACAAGTACAAATCAAAGACAAATCACAATTGCAAGGTCACAAAGCACATTCTTATTTTCTAGAAACCAAAAATAAAACACCTTTCTTAATTTATAGAAACCAAAAATAAAACACAAGTACGACATAATATAAAATACTAATAAACGCCAAGACTTCAAGTATTGCTTTATTGTGCATGAAATCACAAATCTGAACAGAGCTGCCAAGTGAACTCTGCATCCTTAGCTTCTAGTCAAAACAACCTTCTATTCGTCTCAATGCTTGGTGCAAACACACTGGTTACAGTTGGTCAGACAACTATAGAGAAACAGTAGCATGAAAATGTAACGTTAAAACTTTTAATAATAAGGAGGACACACCCTCACCCATGACACGAGTATAGAGCCAGGCCAGCCTTAACATCCATGTAATTTGACAAGACTTCAGATTGTTCGGTTACATGATCTTATTAAAATTAGTAAAAACAACAGACTGCAGGACAAGTCCTTTTTTACCCTAAATATTTCACTGGTAAATTTAATTTCTTAAACATTTATTTATAAATTTCCAAATATCACTAGCATGGTCATATACAAGTATATAGAAAAAAAAATTTTTTATAAAAGGTAATTTGGCCAGGACTGTGTGAAAAGAAGTTAGGACTTGTTCCTGTAATATCAACTTTTATGAACTTACTTCACTGAAATACAACAGACTTCCCGAAATACGTCGGTCCGACGGACATGTCCGATAAATTTTGATCAGGTCCGACAATTTTTTATTCCGGATCGGTCCGACTGTCCGGCTTTTATCCAAGCCGCATGTATACAAAATGGCGTCGCTACAGGTGCCAAACCTGGGAAAAAACGAAAATCTACGTCAGAAGAGTGCGCAGAACAGCAATAAAAGGATGAAAAGAATAGACCTGAGACAAAATTCAATGAAAAATGGAAGCAGAACCATGAATCATTGGTGTATGACAGGGCGGAGATGAAAATGCACTGTACGAATTGTGCCGATTTTTACGGCGAAAAAATAAAAAACAAAAAGTGTCTTAGAAGTACAAACACAAGTTTTTCTTTGATTTTGATCAATTTTATTTGGTCCGACAGATTTTGTTTCGGTCCGACAGATTTTCATGGTTTGTCAGACCGAATGTCTGACAGTTTTTTTCAACTTTCGGGAAGTCTGATACAATTCACTGAACTTTTCTCTTTCTAGCCTAGCAATATGTAATAAAATTCAAAGTTAAAATGGAATAATTTTCAAATTGTTTCATATCATATATGAAAACTTGATATATAACCAAGTTTATGCATAATCTTCTTTATAAGTTACAATTTTCAAATTCCAAACTTTGATTTTAAGATCCCGAATTGAAGATCAAAACAAGACGAGTTGTTTGAGAAGCATTACTTAACATATTCTTACCTATTTATACACCATTTGGAAACGATACTAATCATCAGCATCTCTGCGGGCTGTTGAACTCCGTCTGAAAATGTACAAGTGAAAATTAAAAGTCTTATTCGGGTTATATCAGATAAATATGTTTCACTAATTGATCATTACAATGTCTGAGAAGTTACCTAACGGCAATATAGATGCTTTTCATAAGTCTTTTAGGGCCTAACTATATCAAAAAGAGAAAGGTGAATTCAATGTATTACTGCTGATATCTTAGTCTAGGCTCTAATTTAACAAGTACAGATAGCTGAGGATTTCTCCCAGTCTTACATCTTCTCATAAAGGGAAGAAGAAAGAAACCTGGCCAAGATTTTCTACATGAAAAGCTTATCATAAAGTATGCATTGGAAACTGCTTTTTTACAAGCTTTTTCATAGTGCTTATCAAAAGATATAAACTAGTGTCTAAGGACAATTCCCTTGCCCAAAGGTATTTGACCTGACTATGTACGACATGAATGTCCTTCTTTGGACACAAAGTTCACCTATACATTGTCAATATTTATAAAGTAAATCTTCTATCCTATGTATTTAAGTATTTAATCGAAACATTCAATAAAACTGTGTCAGGAAAATAGCCGGAGAAAAGAAATTTGCGTACAGAAATCTGAGACGGTCCTTTTATTCTTTTATGGCCTCACTTTAGACAAAGGTTAACTTGACTGTGACCTTATAAGTTGATTTTGTCACAATTTCCTGATAAAGAGACAGACAGTTTGACCTAAATCCAAGTATTCTTTCCTGACCTTTAGTTCGGCTTATCACTTGACAAAGTAATTAAGAATAGGAAAACAAACTCACTGAACTCCTCAAAAGATAAAACCACAGGAAAGTTTATATCTGCAAAGAAGTGATCTCACAGACAGATGTTTTAAATCGATGACCTTATAGATTAATTCAACAAATGAAAGAAAAATAAAATACATTTCTAAGCATGCTATCTCGAAGGACTAGAGTAAGAGACCACCTCTAAGGCACATTACATGAACACTTTTATAGTCAACATAAAAATGCAGTGTACATACATGGTAGTGTTTGTGGACAAGCAGAAATGATAAAGTCAGAGGCATATATTTGAGTGTTTCTTCATGTATGGAGGATTTACATTTCATAATCAAATGCTAGGTTGTTACAATTATGCTTCATGTGTAGCCAGATCTAGTAATGAAAGAAAATATTAGACCCAAGGTGTGTTAAGAAAAGAACACTTGATTTAGTATCAATACCAGTACAATCAGAAGTAAAGAACAGCTAACAAAATATACATCGTCTTAAACTAGCTACACAAGCCAAAAACATGGTTACACCATGGTACTCCAAATTGTGGAGACCCTGACAGTTTTTCCTAGTGGGCTTAACCAACTAGATAGTAATGGGAAGATAATTTTAGCAAAATAAAAGAAATTAACTGTTCATTTTCTAGCATTCTTATAACATAGACGACTGGCTTGTCTGCACTGGTTGTATCCATGGGTAGATTCAGGCTAAGAGTTAATGAAATGTTTCTCTTAAATATAACACCACCTAGCAACAATATCATAAATGGCACAAGTCCTACAATGTAATATAACAATCTCTTGCACTGTAAAAATTATGTACTAATTGTCTGACTCTAGTTTCTTAACTATAAATAATCATTTGGAATTTCAGTCCTCAATTTACATGACATTCACCCAATGATAAAACTATTGCAATGACCTCACCATAACTTTCCTTAAGAGTACCAAGTAGCCACTGGTCAGATTATAAAGACGAGAGCTAGGGTCTGACTTGAAGTTGATACTGGTTGCATAGGTTATTTCATTATTGCGACACATGTTGAAGGAATGAACTGTTTCTCTGAACTTGCTTGAACTGAAAGTAATTAGTTTTTGCCACGAGAATCGAGTCAGGCCAGCCTGCACATCCATGCAGTCTGACCTGGTTCTGTATTTTTATTCCTAAATCCTTTAACCACTGAATGGACTGTTTGACACTCAAAACTTAAAACACCAATGGATAGGAAGAGGGAACTAATGAAATATAAATGATATAACTGATTTTGTCAACTGTTGAACTGTCGACAAAATTGTCACGCTGTTACAGTGCTAGTAACAACTATGTAATGAAGTGTAATAATGAAACATTAAAAATTGAAAAGTCTCGAGTGAAATATCAAGTTTTGCTTTGAAAATTTGCATTATTTCAAAAAAACTTGTAAAAAAATCATATATAAACTTCTCTATTTCAAATATCATATTTAGCAATTGGTGACTGAAGTATATCGTGTTCAGCAAGTGAAATACTTTGAAAGGAAAATTATTTTAAAAAGTATAAGTAATTTATTCAATATAAAAGCGAAACACCTCTACTTTTGCCAGCTGGCTATTATCACCTCATGAAAAGGAAATTACTCCAAGCATAATTTATTTCAATACATTTCAGGTCAAGAAACATAGAAACGCCTTGTTAAGCTGTCCTTTATACACACCGATAGTTCAACATTTAAGTTAAGGAAAATAAACTGAAGTATCACCCTACAGTAGCTGCCAAAAACTTGTAAAATTACAAAACTACACAGATATATTCCCCTTCTTAGATTTTGGGAACCTAAATCATAAATAAGGAGGAACATAAAACAGTGTCAATAAACAAGGCCGACATAAATGACATAAAAAAACAGCTACATTTTGTCAAGTTTTCTACCAAAGAAAGCAGAATTAAGGAGGGGGAGAAAAATGTATGTCTTAATAAATATTTGGTTATCATAAATACGTATATACATATTTATATACATCCTGTCACTTATAATATATAATTTCTATATAAACTCATCTCGTAAATCAATTATGTTTTTACCTTTTCTAGTTGTTTACATAGTTCTTTACAAGTCACCTTGTCACTGTCGTCTGCTCAATGTGTCACCATACAATCATATAGCTTGTTCCTCACTTCCTTCAAACTGGAAAATATACACATTTCACTCTTGTACTATTGTATGTTTTTTTTCTTCTAAAAATGCATCATTTCTTAGATATCTAAACATCATAATTTAGAATATTTTGGGTTTTCCTAGCTGAACCAACTTTCACAAATAAGTGTGACTGACTATTGTGACATGTGAACTATTGTGAGTGGCAGAGCACTATGAAGCTGCTCAGTAAAAGTTTGTTTGTACTTATGGATAAGCTTCAAAGAACCCTACTTCCTACTTCTTCTTCCTAAATTGAAAATTGTTAATTATCAACAAGATCAATTTGCCTTTGGTAGGAGTGCATGATAAAAAAAAAATTTGATGGCTATAGTTTTTTTTAAGAGCGCATTCTTGGCAAACAAATGTCAACTGCATTGTTCGTTAATGTATGTGACAAAATATGCTAACACTTGTATCAGATCAACAGAAATACCAAAATACCACATCTGTGTTGACCATTAATCAATGTAATGAACATTCATCAATTTTCTCTTTACATTTATATTATCAAGTTTTGATGAAAAATACTTAACAGTTACAGGTTAAAGGTTCATAGTTAACAGTTACTGGTTAAAGGTTCATAGTTAACAGTTACAGGTTAAAGGTAACTGGTTAAAGGTTCAGTGTTAACAGTAACCGTTTTAAGGTTCATTGTTAACAGTTACAGATTAAAGGTAACTGGATAAAGGTTCATTGTTAACAGTTCCAGCAAAGGGTTAAAAGCTAACAGTTAATTATTAAAGGCTAACAGTTATAGGTTAAATGTTCAAAGTTAACTGAGAGAAAAACAATAAAACAATATTAAATTCTGTCTGAGCATGAGGCTGATCATCAAAGGTAAAATAACCTAGAAATAACTAATTTACATATAGATTGGTATAAAAACGAGTCATGGACTAAAATGATAAACTTAAAGACACCTGAACTAATTTATATAATGGACTTACCCTGCTTACAAATTTTTATTTTAAAGGGTTTCCCTGTCAAAATTCTAAATTTGAGCATCTTATAATGTACAGTTTATGTTTGACTGATTCACTGAGCAGACTTGCCCAACTCCTACATTACAGGACCAGCAACCACTCTACTAGAAGCATAGGTCTCTATCACCACCAGCACTTGTCAAGTTAACTACCTATGCTAAATAAAACGATAGGTAACAGTTTCTTACAAAGTGGCATAGTCAAAACAGACCTTTCATAAACTGATATTTCTAAATTCCAATCAAACATAGTGATGAAATCAGGAGTCATTCAAAACCTATTTTCTAGTTTGATTCACCATTGTCGAAGTTTCGCATTCCAGATATTGTCACAAAGTTGGTCCAATAGACTGAGAATTGCCATCGGCAGTAATTTTACTTCTCAATAGTTTTTTTTCGTAGATTTTTAAACCAGTGAAAAGACCAGACTATAAGAAATGTCTGGTCTCTGAACACTGTACCGAAATATTACATCATCACAAAATTTGTCAGCTGTGAAGTGTTATAACCTAACTGAAGAAATAATGTGACCACATCAGTTTAAAATCATACAATAACAAGGACATCACTTACCATAAACGTTGAATATTTGATTATGACTAATCGCGCGTCACTGAAACAATATATCAAGCTGGCACATTACAAATAGATAGGAATAATCCAGACAAATGTTGATCAATATCATCCGACTACCTTGTCAACCTATAGCCGTTCTTTGACAACAATGTCATCCGAGAAATTCATTAATACTTTTTCATTCATACACTTCAATTGTCTCCGCAATTCCGTCTCAAGGAACAGATTACGCCAACGTCAACAGGAATATGAACTTCTCAAGAACTTTTAATCCACAACAATTGAAAACGTTGATCCGGACTCGGGACAAAAGTTTAGTAGGTGGCTATTGCCTCATGTATATATGACTACCTGTATAATACATAAACTATGTATAGACAGTCATAACAATGCCTCCGGTAACCAATTACTTTTTACAAAATTTTATAAATCATTAGACTCGAGGCTAACAAAACGAGACAAACTTCAGTTAAGTCACGACTGACTTATAAATAAATCTATACATTTTCCGGTTAAAATATCCAACAGCTTTCATTAATACACAATTTTCAAATTTCCCTTAATAAACATTTCTTATGTTAAACCGATTTCTTACTCAATACAGTATTTCAATGTAAACACTAGGTTGAATGAAGAACGTCTATACGTGCTATACATAGCTCGAAAAACAGAGACAACGTACATGTATTATACAGCCCAGACTATAACCTCATGTATATAATAACCCAGACCGGAGTGAATGTGTGTATTTATAAAACATATTCATATCACCTAGTGAAGGGTTAATACAGTACTGCAGACAAAGGGTTAACCTTCATATGTCAGACGAAAACTTAAACTTCTGTAGATAAGACTTTTGAAAATATTTGCACTCTGTATACAGTGTATTTACTTAGTGGTTTAAAAATGTATACAAGCAGTATAGGCTGACAGACTTGATTATTGGCTGTTGAACATGTAATCAAGGGAAAGGTCAGTCAGGGTCAAGTTTCAGCCGAATGACCAGACAGGACAAAGTATGACCTTACATCCCAAAAGTTACCTTAAATGACCTAGGCAGAGTGGTTCGGACGGGAATGTTCAGACGGGAATATTTGAAGCCGCTTAGAAGTTATTTAAAATTCTGTAGCTCAAACCTTTTGGTACTTTGGTACAACTAGTGATATAAATGGCATGATATAAATGGAACATAAATACCAAGTCTGAACAAAACTTCTATTTGTTTGTGTATGTGGTAATTTTGAACAATAAACTAATTAGACCTGTCAACTTGACCCATTCTTAGACCATAATCTGCTAAATTTCTCTAAAGTACTTGACAAACTTCCATTTTAGGAATTGTCCATTATCGATGGTCAGGATGTTATTCAGCCAAAAGTATAGGGAATAGTCGGATTGTGCAAAGGTGCTAGCTGGTCCGACTCTATAACTGGTCACAAAGGCTAATCACTCTTTTATTAAAATTCAAAGTTCTATGCAGGAAATGAAAAAAAATCAAAAAAATTCAGATTACACATGTACAATAATAGTATTTTGGAATAGAAAAGTCTTGTACATTACAGGAAACAGCCACACAATCATTCAATATGTACTCAAGACTTGAAACATATAATTTTCTGAACTGCAGTGTCTTAAACACCAGTCAATTACAACATTGGCTGTTTAACCATTGTGTAAAAGTGGACATTTTTGGGTTATAAAGACCCAGCCAAGGTAGATATAAATGACGAAGGATGTAACTCGACAGTGCCTTAAGGTTACCACTATTTCTACATTCTGGTTTATTCATTTACATTACGTGCTGATGAATATATATAAACACACTTAACACTTCTAACTTCATTACAGGGAAACCTAGCAAAAACAGTAACAGCTAATGGAGACAATAGGTTATGGATCTATAATTCGCTTCATTACAAACTAATAAACAATATCTTACCATGCCAGTAAACAGAGCTGCTGGTTTCTATAATAACGCTAGTGGAGTCAACAATCGTCTAACAAAAACCAACACCATTTTTTTTTGTTCAAGTCAGAAAGCGTCTAACTGGTCCTAGAAGCTTGGCATTCTCACGACAAAGCTTGAGTGCAGCATAAATTGTCCTGTAGGGTAGGCATTCCAATAACATGGCTTTTTTTGTGCAGCATACAGTGTCCATTATCATATTCATTGTACAATGAACAATCATACTGGTAACAAGGATTTCTTGCAACATAAACCAGTCTATGGAATATTATTCTCATAAAAGTGTGCATTGTTTTTCTCTTAATTAGGCATTCCAATGATGCAGAGATGGTGTAGCATTCAGGTCTAACAACAAAGCTTTGATGCACTTCAGATTGTTCTCTACTCAAGACATTCAAAGAAACAAGGCTTTGGCACAATATACATTGTCCTCTTGCCATTTTTACTATCTATGTATGTCATTAAGTTTATACAAAGGAGCTTCATGTCATGTATTGTTGAAGATGGCAAGATGGAGGTTTTGAGGTAGACAAGGTTGGTCTACTGATCATAGATCTTTATCAACTCACAAAAGCAAGATGTCCTTTTTTTAATAACAAGCTTGATAGCATAACCTGGTATAATATGCTAGGTGTTCATATAACTTCTAAGTAACTTCAAAAGTATCAAACATAGCTATGCCAAACAGTGTCTCTTTTAGTAATCAAATATAACCAGCAAGCTTTTTAGTAACCAGGACTTAAAAAGACCTATTACTAAGTCTAAATTACCATAGTGACCAAATTCAGCTGCCAACAGACTTAGCAACATGATACTGTCAGACTGGACTGATATTTGACAAAGTGCTGCAAAATGCTAAGATATGAAGACTATAGTGGTCCATGTGTCGACTGCTGGCAATAAAAATCTTCTGCAGAATATTGAGACATCAGGGTCCACAAAGTACTCACGACAAATCTTGCATACTGCTGCTAATGAAATGCTGCAGGCTGCTGACAAGTGTGACGGCATACTGGTCCTGTTTTCAACTGAAATGGAAATGTGCAGAATAATTAATTACCACTACATATAACTTTGGGGCATTGTTATTGCAAATATTCAAGGGAAAAAAAAGTATTTTCCTTGTCAACTGCTCCAACCGCCAGCATACATGTACTAACTCTATTCCATGTCATTTGTAACTATTTCAGATTGAAGCAATGATTAAAAGTTGTAATTTCTTTTTAAATTTAAACACTTGGTTATGCAACCTTTATTTTTTCATGTGGAACTTTTACAGGAATTGTCTTTCTTTTCACTTTTATATACACTTGAATTCTTTTTGGTTTATATAGAAATGTTTTACTTTGCAAAAGCCAGTTTTGAAAGTTAAACTCAGAGCTCCTGCCGAAACCCCAATTCCCCCCATTTGACATCATTTTCAGCTGGACATGCTCTTTCAACAATCACGTGTTGAGCTCTTTTTCTTCTTTTAATATACTGTTCAAGATGACACAAGAATTAGTTTGTTTTGCCCGTCTTTCATTTAAATTCTGTAGCTTCAAGCTTTACATGTTAATAAAACTTTTATCTTTATTGACTAGGCCCTTCCTAGTACAATATCAATACAATCAAGATTGAATAACTAGCCTACAGTAGAATAAACAATAACATGCCTCAACTTTTTTATTTCAATATATTTTTTTATCTTCTACATGGAATCAATTTTTAATAAGAACCATGAAAATATCATTCCAAATCAACAATAGGCCCTTTCCCTACCTTCGAAAAAAGCCCTTTTATTAAGACAATAATCACTTTTATCACCATTTTTATGTGGGATAAATGGACATAAATGGAGAACATGTCACTTATACCCCTGAAACTCTCCACACCATCTCTTTTCTTTCACCTTCAGACGAAATTGTTCAATATTAATAGATTTTCATATTCTTGGCGATACAAATTTTTCAATCTTCTTTTCATTATATGTTTTTGGTAAGCGAATTCAAACGGCACTAACTTGACAAAAAAAACACCTTTCAACAAAACTGGAAATAAAACTGAGTCTGTCAATTGCTTATTTATTATTCATGAGATGGCTTGTAAATCAAGGTCTCTCATTCAACCACGATTCTTAATACTTATTGGTATTAAAACTTTCCTGTCTTTTCTTAATTTGTCTGTAACTTAGAGCGAAACCGTCCTACGTCAATGAATCAACTAGTACTAATTCAGTTATGGGTGCGAAGATGCCGCTGAAGCCGCAGAAATGACTGAGTAAAACAATCGCGTTAATTCTATCCTGTCAATAGCTTTGCCAAAGAACAAAGAGCTGTCGCAACCGGTGTAACTTTTTCAGTTTGAAGGTATGAAATTTAGCGTGGGAAAATTGTTGTCGTTCTTTTTTCTTTTTCTTTTTTGTCATCTACTCTTGATAGTAGAAATGGAAGACAGCAAGATTTCAAGCTGGGATTGTCATTTACCCCAGTCACAAATTGTTAAGGCAACTATATATTAAATGCAGAAGCTGAATTTAAGATTAGGTGTAAACTACAAAATAACAATGTAACACTTGTAACTAAATCCGCCAATTTTTCTTCTTCTTTTTTTCCTAATATTAGCTCAAGGGCATAAGCTCTTATTTTTATATTTTAGTATTTCACATTTAAAAAACTTTCCATTTTATATTTTGTAATTGTTATTTCGTCACTTAAGTAAATTAAACTAAATTATTGTCATTAAAGATGGAAATGACAAATGTGTTATATAACATGCAAAACTATGTGACAAATGTTTCTTTAGGTAGTTTTAATAAGATCTTGAGTCAACTCAAATTATACAATTTGTAACTATATAATAGGAAATATTCAACTTTTCTCTGCCAAGTTAAGTTACTATAAGAACATAAACTATGTAAAATACCAGAAAAAGTCTTAATGAATAACTTGCATTTTGTATTGGAAAAATTCAAGATAATATGGAACTATGAAATGTATCCTTGCAAAAAGATTACAAACTATGCCGTAAGACTTGCGTTTCTGCTGAGAATTCCTCAGTCCCTTTCATTTAGTTAGTTAAATAAATTCAATTTAAGAGAGCTCAAACCAAGACTTTAATGGCAAGAAGACTGTTTCATCTTATTCAAAATACCATTTAGTTTTTCTCTCAACAAATTATTGACAGACAATCAGGTTTTCATACTTCTCACTAGAATGACGTAAAAACAAACGCTACTATGGTGCCATTTCACAATGTGATCACACAAACACCCACTATCACATTTGACAATATTAAATAATGGTTTTGTGAATTGAAGCATACGACAAGATTTGCTTTGAAAATTTCAAGATAGACAGTTGCTTTTAATACATAGCAGATTTAACTTGTTCAGGTGAGCAAGAACTGTAACTTATGAGAGAGTTATGAAGGTTCTTGCATGGCTCAACTCAGTCTGATTAATTAACCTTTAGCCTGCTGGCACCCTTACAACAAGTCCAATATAATATCAGCCAATGCCGTCTAATCAAAAGACTTGTCTATCAAAGATATTATGCATAGTAAATTGTAATGGTTAAAACGATTATCAAGAATGACTCTACAAGGTATGAAATTAGTCTCAGTCAAAAGTTCAAAAAATGTTTGTTACAGCAGATAGTCAATATATTTACAAGTAAATCAATTGTTTAAAACCGCAAATTTCAGAATCACTTTGATAAAACAACCAATCATTTGGCACCAGAATAAATAATTACTGGATGACTGTTGCAAGTTATCAAATCATTTCACACAATAACAATTGAACTTCAAATCTTATATAGCATACCTTTGTTTCTTTCCTCTTGGTCCAAACGTGTTCACCAATTCTACTGCTACAGCTGGCTATTTGAAACCATTCTGGAGAAAACTGAAATAAACAAATGATACTCATTACAAAAAGAAACAAGAAAAGCATTGATGCAAAGCATCAAAGGGCGTCCAAGCAAGAAATGCAGCAAGTGAAGATGAACTAGTACACATATGATGACAAGATATTCTTATAAACTACCAGAAATGTATACCACTTATGAATGAGCGGACGAAAGACATTGTTCATTATGAACTTTGATTGGCATGCTAGAGATTAGAATATTACTTGTTATTTCTTTATGATCGTGGTTATTAATAGCAACGGATATACATGTATGCAATCATTTATAATCCATATGTGTAACGCATGATCAACACGTACCACACATTTGTCCCTTATTATGTACATGTTATCGCTATTAGCGAAGACCCCCTTAAGGTATCTGTTCACACTTTAAGTTAGTAAAAATATGACACTGGTTATATTACCATGTTGATCATGTTGAGCATAATTGTTTATTATACAATAATTGTAATATCTATTAATTTTAATTTAAAAAAAATACAAATTTTATGAATATTGTTTCTTTTATTCTTTTTGTGTTTTATGTGCTATTTTAATACTGAGTTTTTACTACTCTTTTTTATTAAAATTGTAAAATAAATTTTAAGAATTCAATTGTCATATTGACCGACGATTATAAGTAAAAGCTTAACTGGAAAAAGTCAGTAAATTATGGTTTATCTTTCAATATATAATATTGTTTATTCTTAAACCATGTACATGTACATTGTATTTTTCTTTATCATTTTTTAAATTATCGATCAATTGAATAATTCATAAAATCTAATTTGTAACTTTGAATAATTCCTCGGCATCTTTACTAAACACGGATAACAAATTGAATAATTAAATAAAATGTTTCAAAGTTGATAATGTCATTTTAATACCATAAAAAATGTACCTTTTTCTCAATTATTGTACATATCACGGATTTATATTACATATAAATCCGTGTACATATTTATTGTTTTTATCTCATATAGATAAAATGAAACATGCTATTGTTGTTTTTTTCCAATTGTAACGATATCAAACATCTACTCCAAAATCGGAGAGACCGGACAATAAACGTGTGGTACTATTCGCCGGTCACTAGTAAATCCTGGTCAAAATAGACCGGGAGAGACCGGCATTTACCGATAGGAGTGATAAAAAGATATATCTATAAATAGGTTTTTGGAATATTTAGGTCATCAACTGATCATTCTAGGATACATGTACAACAATAACATACCATGACATGATAACCGACTGTGTACTACAATATGATAAATAAAAAACCCCGAAGAGCGTGATTTATTGACGGAAAAGGTTATTTCATTTGTAAATGTTTGCATTGCAAAATTTAATTGTAACATATCGCGACATTTCATTCTTATTTAATAATCAAGCACCCTCATACCGATCGGAATTTTCGGCTTTTATTATGACCGACTAAAAGGCTCGAGAAGTTGCTGTCGCCCTTTCACAAAATCTGATCTCATTCCATAAGAGCGCCGCGCTTCGGCGCGGACGCCAATGACAGTTTGTACAACCATGCTTTCTTACCAGACTTTATACTGTCGACAGCTCATGATGACAAGACCCTGCAATAACAATTGAATAGTTCCAAGGTAAAAAGGAGGACCAGTCCACTCCAAGCAATGTATGTCTAGCATTCTATTTAGAACTGTTGAGTGCTAGACTATTTTGGTTGGAACAATCTCCAATAAAAGAAAAAATGTCCCTAGACCATGAAATTGCCTATGATTATCCTAAATGACAAAGTCTATTTTACAATAAACATAAAACTTATTGTATCATGTACAAAGCAAGACTAAGTAATGGTCCCAGTGCTGTGATTCAAACATATAAAATATTCCTTCCACATCAAATTACATAATATCCGACGGGAAATTTCATAATTTGATGTAGATCTTCAAATAAAAAGTGTTTTTTCTTCAAATCAACTAGTCTGGCAGTATAAATAATAAATGAGAAAAGAAATAAAGAAGGGGGAAAAAGGGTGAACTCTTCTTATACTGTTAAGCAAACTGTGGTGTACGCCTAATAGAGTTTATGATTCCCCTGCTGGGGTTTGAATGAAGTCTAGACGCAACTTAGTGGCATTATAAGATTACATCTTGATGTTATGATGTCATTAGGAAGACAAGCTGTATTCTGACATATAGGTACGAAAAGAAATTAATAGTGTCTGACGTTCTGATACAGTTTAATCTTTGACTAATTCACCACAAATCACCCGTTTAAACACTGTCATTATAAAATATAGTTTTCTCGGAAAGGTCGACATACTCGGGTTTTGTTTATTTGGCGGCCAGACACTATGTCAATTTTAGTTTGTCTTAATTCCACTCCAATCGTTTGGTTTATTACATCACATATTCTTCAAGGTGTCAATTAGGAAATAAATATCACCAAGTCAAACCCACAACCTTTTTATCAGACAAATAAATAAAATAAACAAGGGTTATCTCCTCAATATTACACCATTTTCTTCACAACTTTTGACCAAAAATGACAGTCTTTTATCCTGCTGGTTCAACAGCAGATGGTTAGCAAAACTAAAACTTATTCTTTTTTTAAATTTTTTTTGACAAGTTTTCATATATTTTTCATTTTTTGTAGTCAAAATCTTATATATTGACTTTTGTTGTGTTAAAAACTCTTCAAAATACTGAAAGTAACAATCTATTGGTCTTGAAAAACCAAATAGATTTGATTTTCCCTGAATTTATAAAGCCTTTAATATAACGTAAGATGACTTTTATTACATAATGCATTTTATTACATAATATTATCATCATTTCAACAGCTCAATAGTCCCTTCAGACTACTTTTTGTCTCTTAAATTATCACTTTAGATTGAACATTTTGCAATAAAATAGAAAGGTATAATGCCTGGTATAAATAAATATACACATTTCCCAAGAGCCTCTGAAATTTGTTGAAAATTAAAATGGTTGTTAGCCATTGAATTTTACAGTAAGGTGAAAGCGATTAGTTTTTCATAATAAAAATAGGGGCCTAATTTAAGTCGGCAAAATATGTTTTTGATTTATTTGTCTGTTTTAATCTAAAGTATTTTTTAACTTGTCCGTATGATATTCATATAGTAAATTCTTAAAAAATTTTCAACTTGTCCGGAGAGGCTGTGGGGACAACCTGGGCAATACAGACGCCCCTGCTTTATCTAAATCAACAAAACTGTTAAAGCTTGAAAATTCCATAGAATTTTGATAATTTTCCGTTCTAATTCCTTTTCTGTTTGTCTGTCTGTCTGTTTGTTTGTTTGTTGTTCTGTTTCATAAGCTGATTTGAGCATGTATATGGTCTGACCTCAGTCGTCAATTTACCTAACGGGCTTTTTACCAGTAATTATCAATTTGTCTGTATGTGATCAACTACAGGATTTCTGAATCAGTGATGACAGACAAACTACCATCAGACTGTATTGTGGGATCAATAGTCATGTCAAAAATTCACCTCACCAGAGCATCAAACCAGTCATCTCTTGGATGCTCTCCCTATTGAGCAAAGCTGGTGTAGTAGACCCGAGTAACAGTGACTGTTTTATTTTTTAAGTTCAGTTTATACTTCCTAATAATCTGACATTTCTGCACTGAAGTTTCACAATATTTAAGATATCAAGACTTGTGTGCTATTAAGTGAAAAAAACTCTTATGATGAACCCTGAGGAAAGTTATCACCCATATTTCTGACCTGAACAGACCCAATTCTGGAGAAACAAAATTATATGAATTATTGTACTTCTCTGACCCCAATAGACCCATTCTTACCCCCCCCAAAAAAACAAAGTCACGAAAAAATGAAGATCTAAAAGATCATTAATTGGAACTCTCATTTATTTTTACAATCTAAATTAACACAGATTTTTCATTTTTGTTCAGTCGTTTTAATGTGAATTTTTCAGCAGAATGCAGTTATTTAGTTTGCAAGGACAATAAATTGGCAGAAAGACCAAGGAAACGAGCTAATCATTATACCCGCATGCACCTCGTGTCACATGTCGGATAATTATTACAACATCCCCCCTCCCCTCCCCCACCCACATACCTCCAGCATTTTTCAACTAATATGCTTTATTTTCTGCAGTTTCCCTAAAAATCTTAGGGAGGAATTTTATTTCATTCTTATGGAATGCACAATTTATAATAACAGATTTTAATTAGTTTCCAAAAGAATGTTGCTCAATCAGATTTTATGTGTTACAAGGTCAGCATTACTTTTTTGTACAAAGATCAAATTCTTTGTTTTCTTCTTTATTTAGACACGTTTGGTAAACAGACTGGTTCCTTATCACTACAAATAAATGCCATCAATAACTAAAGTTTTGTCAAAACTCTTTTTCAGCTTGCAAAATAGTATTTAAATTTTCAAGATTCAAGACTGAAATTTCCAACACATCTGGACCTGTTTCCAAAAGGGTGGGAAATAAACATATTTATTACTTGTATCAACTTTTACAGTTTCACATTATCTACATGTAATGTTTTATTTGGAAATCAGAAAATTACATGTTAATTTATTGGTGCACACTTATAAAACCCAATGTTATTAATGTGTTATCATTTTAAGGTTATTTCCCCTTCAATTAAGCAGATCATATCAATCAATTGAAAAAATACAACAACTAAAGTACATGGCAATTTTAGTGAAAATCTCAGTCTATGTCTTATGAATTGCTGTCGTCGTTACAAACAAGATGTTGCCACATTCACAGTTGAAAATAAATAATTATCAACCTCTCTGATAATTAATTAACACATTGTTCAGAGTTGATAATTCACAATTATCAGACTGTCCAAAGAATATGCTCTGACCCCCAAACCTGCAGAAACCAAAATTTCTTCAAACAGTAAATGGACTGTTCCAAATTCAAAGTAGGGCAAATCCATTTCAGAAATTCAGCAGGCTAATGCAATAAGACAACAAAAAGATCTAAAGTGTTTGAAAATATCTAAGAATATATACAACAACTAAGGTATCAAAATTGTATGTTAATTGGATCAATTATCACAGACTCACTTCAGAGCCTTTGTTACAATTAATGAAATATAGGTACAATTTCTAATTCTGCAAAATTGAAAATGTCTGTGGCAATAAGTATTAAATATCAAGTTAAGTTTATGCAATGAAAATGTATATTTTAAAATGTCAGTGACACTTTTCAGATGTCCTTACATAGATTTTTTTTTTCCTCAACCGAAATCATGATCCCAAAAACTTTTGTAACATTTTTCACATTTAGCTATATTTACAAAACAAACACTTTATTAATAAATTTGTTTCCAAATCAAAACATTAATGCATGTACTGACAAAAAACTGAACAGATAGAGTATGCTTCAGCTCCATTAATGAAACCAATGGTGTCCATTAATCAATTCAAATCATTGTCAAATCAATAAATTTCAATGCAACAATAAAAGAGCAACTGAAGATTTATCAATAAATCTGTCTATAGCTGTATGAACAAATAGAAAAAAAGCTTGTTTCTTTACCTTTATGGAATAATTTCAATGTCCAGTGTCACACTGTGGCAGTTCCGAGTTCACACTAGTTTTCGATTACTTTGGGGGGGTTAGTCTCACAAGTCTGGACATCAGTTAGCATTGGATAATAATGTGTCTGGATGCAGATACCTGAAATTTCAGATCAATATATTGATACTGTATACGGTACTATACTGTCTACTATATATATATCTACCACATTGCTAGTAGTACGTTAGTACTTTACAGTTACACCTGTAACTTATATCTGTCACAGTAGCTACACTAGTATTGCAGCTTCATCTGTATCAGTTGCTAACGTCTTACGTAAATATTGAAGTCACAGAAGCTAACTTGCGACACTTTTATTGTAGCTACATCTATCTCAGTTGCTAACTTCTTACAGTAGCTAACTTCTTACACTTGTAGTGTAGAAGCATCTGTCACAGCAGCTACAAATTACTTTGTATTTGCATGTGTCAATTTCTAACTTCTTACACTAGTGATGTAGTCACAGTAGCTAATGCCTTACACTAAAACTGCAGTAACAACCTGTCACAGTAGCTAACTTCTTATACAGCATTGTAGTCTCATGTGTCAAGTAGTCAACTTCTTACATTAGCACTGCCCTAGTTATGTAATGTACTTGCTACAGCAGCTATTAAATTACTTACACTAGAATTACAACTAGTACCATACAGTCGCACTGGATTCAGAAAATAGCAAAGTAGCAACACTAATCTGTTGCACAAGGAATTTTTTGAACTAATGGTTTACTGTCACACTTGTAACAGTAACTTATTGTCTCCATTAGAACTGTACCATTAGAACTGTCCCAGTATTTCGCTTCTTAAAATAGTCACAGCTGTCACAATTAACTAAAGTAAAACACTTACAGACAAAGCACAGCTGGGGTATGAAAATAGATATCTTTAATCTAGATATGAAAAGAACAGGTATTTCCAGAATTGATATATTAAGTAGACAAACAAACTGCTTCTATATGAAATGGCATTTGAGTCAAATTAAAAAATGAACATGCCTTTTGGTGGAAAATGTTTAAACTTGCATCCAGAATACATGCAATTTATTATCGGCTATTTCATCAGGAATCGTAAAACAAAATTTTTAAATTTGTTCTTTAAGGCAAAATTTACCGTGGTTGATGTGACATTTAGAAGACAAATTTTAGCGGTAGATTTATTTTTGACATGTCCATTTTTATGTTAGTCTGTGTCTAAATTTTTTTATTAAAATCAATTAAAAGTGTTTTTTGTAAATTCTCGACTTACAGATAGATAAAGGTTAGCCATCATACCGTATTTCTGTACGGTGAATTTGCGGTCTCCGATCGGCAATTATTTTAGGCTAAATAATTCAAAGTGTTGGACTACTTTTTGGAGTTTTTTACACCGATTTCATTAATTAACAATTTGAAATTAAATTCTTGATGGGAATTTGTGAATTTTTCATCATATTTTTGTGTAATTTTAGCATTCCTTAGATTGTGTTTAGACATTTTCCGGCTCAAATTTCCGTGCGAGATTTTCTCTCATTTCACAAATTACTCTGAGATTTTGGTGATTTTTTTGCGAGAAATCGCGGAAATCGCCCCCTAGAATGATCCCTGCTTTTGGTGGAAAATGTTTAAACTTGCATCCAGAATACATGCAACACAAATTACAGCAGCATTTATAAAGACATCAGGAAAATATAAACCTATCTCAATGGTATAATCTCAGTATCTAAATGAACATATATGTACTGTTCTTGTAGCTGACGTTTTACCTTTTCTGACCTTCTAATCTGTCTGACAATAAGTTCAGTGACATCTGTGGCTTAAGTTCTGAACTCTCAATGTTAGCAAAGTCAATAATGACTTGCCAAGACAAAGCCTGTAACAGAAATCCACCTTAAATAGCCTTGACAATATTTTAGCCAGAGTTACACAGAATGATCCACCTTTCATAGCCCTTACAATACCGTAGCCAGTTACACTCATAGCCCTGACGATACTTCAGTCAGAGTTACACAGAAATAAATGTTTCATAGCCCTGACAATATCAGCAAGAGTTAAACATGAATTAAACCTTTCATAGCCCTGACAATACATTAGCCAAAGCTACACAAAAATAAACATTTTAATAGCCCTGACAATACTTAAACCATCCTGAAACAAACTCTCAAAGGAGCTATTATCAATACTTAAGCCGGAAATAATAGCCTGTCAATACCTTTGCCAGAGGTAAACAGAAATAAAACTTTCATAGCCCTGACAATACTTTAGCCAGAGTTAAACAGAAATAAACCTTTCATAGCCCTGACATATTTTAGCCAGAGTTAAACAGAAGTAAACCTTTCATAGCCCTGACAATTTTTTAGCCAGAGTTAAACAGAAATAAACATTTCATAGCCCTGACAATATTTTAGCCAGAGTTAAACAGAAATAAACATTTCATAGCCCTGACTATACTTTAACCAGAGTTAAACAGAAATAAACCTTTCATAGCCCTGACATATTTTAGCCAGAGTTAAACAGAAGTAAACTTTTCATAGCCCTGACAATTTTTTAGCCAGAGTTAAACAGAAATAAACATTTCATAGCCCTGACAATACTTTAACCAGAGTTAAACAGAAATAAACATTTCATAGCCCTGACAATACTTTAACCAGAGTTAAACAGAAATAAACATTTCATAGCCCTGACTATACTTTAACCGGAGTTAAACAGAAATAAACATTTTATAGACCTGACAATACTTTAACCAGAGTTTAACAGAAATAAACCTTTCATAACCCTGACAATACTTTAGCCAGAGTTAAAAAGAAATAAAACTTTCATAGCCCTGACAATACTTTAACCAGAGTTAAAGAGGAATAAACATTTCATAGCCTTGACATATTTTAGCCAGAGTTAAACAGAACTAAACCTTTCATAGCCCTGACTATACTTTAACCAGAATTTCACAAAAATAAACCTTTCAGAGGAGCATGGACAATACTTTTGCTAGAATTAAACAGAACTTAACTTTTCATAGCACTACACCCACACAACAGAAGCATTAGAACATGATCCAAGTACAATAGAAAGGCTTGAACATTTAAATTACATTCCCATACAACATTTTGTGAGCAGCTTTTCCAATGGTATAGCGTTTTGAGCATAAGAAAGGCTCCCATTCATTTTAAATAGAGGCAATCCAATCTAAATACAGAGCATGCTTGTCAAAAAAAGTTCTTAAAGTAATAACACTGGTCAACAAAATGCAAAAATGAATCCTTTAAATTATAGCCAATAGTTATAAACATTTAATTATTAAAAAATGCAATTTTACTTGGATTGTTGAAAAGACAGATAAAATTCCCCAACGTAGGTCTTAAAATCGTATCACTGCAAGTTGTTGTAAGTTGACCCTGTAATATTTAATATATTAAATAGTGCAGTTTACCTGTGCAAGAGCCAATTTGCAAACATGCAAATTACGATTCATTCCAGAAACTTGCTGAAGGCGACAGTTAAAAGAACAAAATTAAATCCAGTTCCACAGATTGTTCACGTAAATATTTTTTTGAAGATGTTGGTACATATATGCCATTAATTATATATACTGTATATTAGGGTATAAATTTTATTAATATAATGTTTTTTTTTCATACAGTTGACCAGTGTTACAACTTTAAAGGGTGCCAAATGCAGCAAAATTGAAAATTTTCATTGCACTTGTTCAAGGGAAGCAATGCTTATTTTTGCTTTAAATAAAGTTTCGAGTGATTATAATGATAAAGAATTTAGAGAAGTTTTCATTTCTGCAACTTTCAAAATGTTGTATGTTGTTTTATTTAGAAAGTTCTTGCTTTGCCAAAGAGAGATAAAAGTTTTATACTTACATAGATCAGGGCAATTATTCTTTTCTTTATACAATAAAGTTTCACTGGCACCCGTGCTCCATCCTTTCCACTAGCAGCCATTTCTAATCTGAAAATACACAACAAAAAAAAATATTAGATTTCAAACACTCAAGTACTTGTCACAATTATGGCATGCTTTTTTCCCCTTTGGTACATTCACTGACGTATTCTGGTTGCCCTAATCCGAGACGCTAGTTGTATTCAGGGTAGTGCATGGCTACAGCAGTTGCCCAGATCTAGAAATGACCCTGCAGAATTAATGTACAGCACTGACCCAGACAAAGATTTCATGTAAAACACTGTATGTATGTATAGCCTTAACGGAGTATCTCCTAGTTGAAGGCTCGAGTCTCAACAGATCACACAGTCTGACTGACTGTTCTACTAAGTATGACACCACTACCGAGAGCTAGGTCAGCTATAGATGATTTAGGTACAGCCTTAGATCAGTATGTTTCCTTCCTTCAAAGAAAATATGTTATCTTGGACAAGTTCAAGCATCTATTCTGAACCATGGATCTAAACAAATCTACAACTGCTAAGCCACAGTTTTAACATATAATATCCTGCAATCAAGCAATGTGTATAGACTTGACAAACTTAAAGAAACTATGCACAACCTTGTTTTAGAAAATATTCTTCAATAAAAGAATAATGATTTGTCAAAGACAAGAAAAGAAGAAAACCCATTTAGAAAATGAAAGAGTCATATGCTAATGAAACTTTCTATTTTACAATAGATTAAAATGAAAATTGTAGACCAAAAAAGTGTAAACAATCATGTTAAAATTTCGACAACGAAAAAAGAAAATCTGGGCATTAATTTTTTTATACACAGACTACAAAATACTCTTCTACTCTAAACATGATATCATTATAATTGGAGAAGAAAAAATAACTGACAATGTAATACACCAAAAAAACATTCAAAGTGAGTAAGAAATATTTCTTTTAAAGAAAAAATAAACTAATAACTATTGTAACGAAACCCTTAAGTGACAATAAAATGTGGTTGGCCTTAATACAATCAGCTGAGGTATACATTATATAGAGCTAAATCAATCAATACAAGCACAGACGTTTATATTGATCAAAAAATACCTGAACAATGTATGATCCAATACTAGACATATACTTTATGCTAGTCACTATGAAATAACCGTGGTCAGACATATTGATTTTTGTGCGCGACCTACCGAGGTCACGCTAGCCACATAAACTTATCTGCCGGCAATTCAGTCTTACAAAATCAATGACAACTTTTTCCGATAATGAACAATTTCAACGGCATTGGGTGACAGAAAAAAACGAGAACAGTTAATTAGAAGACGTATTGGATAAAAAGATGTCAAACTTTACGTTTCCTTCTCAATTAATGAGATTTTAAATGTATATAATAGACTTGTTTGACATTAAAGACTCCAGTTGTCTCTTTATAAAATCATACATGTACAGCAAACATTAGATGTCTATAGTCTCCTACCTTTACTTTATGTCAAAATGCTCGAGAGATGATAATAAAAACAGCTCTAATATTAAAACATCTTTAATACATTTTTTTACTTTATTTTCATTTTTGTGCAGTTGTTTTTACTTTCCATTCATTTATGTATATCATCAAGACATCACTTGAAAGCAAAAAAAATACAGTAAAATGATTTCTTGACTATTAATAAAACTTGAAATTAAAAGAATAAAATTTTCTCATTGGATAAATCACAATTGTAAATTCCATATTTATTTTTTATACTCTTCTTATTAGAAACCGTATTTGTCTACATATTCTTATGTCTACAATACGGGGAAATTCTTGCATTTACTTATAACAATGAAAGAGAAAAAAAATTCAATTCTGTTTGAAGTATAACAGATAAATACCATATGATTCCATATCGTATCTATGACAACATATAGACAGTTCTTTTTGCAATTTCAATAGAATAGATATGTAGTAAAATCCTACTTTTTAATAAGCGTTCATGTATCAAGATACAATGCAACATAAAAGAGTATTCTTTTGATTTCTTTCTCAAAACAAAAATGACTTCAAATGATGTTTTCTCATATTTTTATTTATATCAGAAAGTAAATACTTTTTTATTTTCATAATTGTTTCCAAATCAAAATCAATAAGTTTAAGTCTTTTTTCCGATTTTAGTCTGTTCACAAATTAGAAGACAGTATGCCGAAATTTTATCTTTTGACAGTCCAAATATGGGGTTTGAAAAATCCTAAAATTGAAGTTTTCCTCATTCCATGACAGTAGGGGGCCTTGCTTACCAGATGAAAAAAAAAATCAAATCAAATCATTGTCAATCAAACTTTCATTGAGAAAATTGTCAAGTTGACTTCTTCAACAAAACAACCAAAAATGTGAGTCAAGTGTTGCTGCACAACATTTTAAAATTCATAGAGCGCAGTTTTCATTCTTTGTAAATTGATATCAATACCTGACAAGAATTTATTATGATTATTAAAATACATCATGGTTTTATTGGTCAGTTGTTTAGTTAAAACAAAACAAAGGTCTGGAAAAAAATTAAGAGACACACTCCTATGATATAATAGACGTGGGTTATGTCATTCATAACCATACTTTCCACAACTATTCCAAAAGGATTCAGGTACCTGTAAATTGAATATGTTGATATATAATACAAAATTATCAATCAACAACCTTAGTGAACGACATAATTTCTGGTTCAACTCTTGCACAAGTCAACAAATGTGTCTATTTCATAATGACCAACAATTGTCAAGTTCCAGGTGAGAGACTTTTTTCTCCATCAACTAAACTTATTACAACATTAAATTCTGTTTTAAATAACCATACTGTAGAAATGCCTTATTTCAATAATTTTCCCCTGTATTATTTTGCCAGCTTCTCAACATTGTCACTGTCGTGATTTGACTATATATCAACATATAACACGATAAATACAAATATCAAACGCTCAAACTTTCTTTTACCTGTTTATATATCATTAGCATCAAATCCTTTTCAACGAGCTCACAAATTAAACCATCCTTTCAAGATCCTTGTGAAAAATTCACAGACATTTCAATCACTTTGATAGTTAACTTCAATAATGAAGGAATTTGAACTATTCAATTCAAACATTTCCTCCACATTCCATGATTTTGCAGTTTTCCCTACATCATGTTTTTCAAACGATTACCAAGGAAAGATTCTTAAAGAGATAATTTTAGAGTAGTAATATAAATATGCAATAAATCGTCTCAATGCATCCTATTTTTATTTATCATGATGATAATATTTCAATTTTCTGCCAGTATTCCAGACAGAGTATGGTAAGTAAATCTTTTCAAATCATGTCCCTATCAAAATTTACAGAAAAACGGGATATCATAATAGCTATGTATATCAAGGTCTCACCACAGAAGTACATATGATATGTTCTGAATATCTTCTCTTCATATATACATTTGAAAATTCTTCACAAACCTCAATTCAAAGATAGGCAATAACTGAATAACTGTAACGTACCTATTTTTCCATGACCTTAAAAAGTAAGCCCATACCCCTTTTGTAACCGTTTTTCTGAGTAGTATAACAGATACGAGATTGAATATTATTTCAAATAAATTAAGATCATTATGCCATTTAAGTCTAGATGCTTTAATAGATAACTTTTTCTGCCCGTCTATTATGTAGTTATAAAAAGTGTTACTTTCAACTTTAGTCTACTAAAAATTAAAGACTTTAGTAGTCACTGCACAAATGTTCATATGAGCCCTGTCACGACAAAACCAACTTAATGCATTTGCGACCAGCATGGATCCAGACCAGCCTGCACATCCGCGCAGTCTGATCAGGATCCATGCTGTTCGCTATCAGTTTCTCTACTTGTAATAGGGTTTGACGCATTAGGTTGGTTTTGTCGTGATGCGGCTAATATGGGTCTGACCCCCTACTGCCTGCTCTCAGCTGTGTCATCACCACTGCTCGTACTCAAGGTAAATCAACAGTGCTTTAGACTGCACTTAGCTTACCATATGGAAATAATGGTCCTTTAACTTGACTTCAAAACTGCTTTATATAATACAAATAACAGTTGCATGCATCTGTAATTTAATTTAGATTGATGCGGGCTGATACAATTTTTAGGTCCTATCATTTTTTCTTGCTTTACAAATTTGAGGACCTTATAATTATAATAAAGAACGCAATGTGCAATACAGTTTATCATTTCAAGGACAAGATTAGAAAAGCAAACAGCAACTATAATCCCAAACCATGACAGACCCTAAAATGATAAAACATTTAAAACTATTGTAATGAAACAAATTACATAGAAAGATAAATTTGTTACCATAGCAAACAATCCATGTTGTCAAATCCCTAACACTTAACTTTTTAAAGAAAATATTAAACCTTGATCAAACCTACAACATCTGTTTAAGCAATAATTATTATGTTTAATCATCATTTTATAATTACAAGTCATAGAAATTATAGCTACGTGTAATTATTGGTCATGAAACATTACACGAAAATTATGCAGATAGCCCGAAATACATATAATATGGTAATCTATACAGTTGAGTGGTTCCCAGACAGATGTATTATAAAGTTTGTGGTTTCCAAGTTCCGACTGACTGGTTTTACACATAAGATTACGAATCGTCAGTCTCGACAGAATATTTGTCCTTGTCATTCCATGGTAATAAATCACTACCACATGTACGTAGCGATACGTATCGCGCCAGTACTCGAGTCAGTCTGACATTCTAGTATATTTTAATCTGTGTGTAAATTATCACGTAAAACTGCACTGGCAAGACAAATAGAATGTTAAATACTTATGGTGCATGTTACTTTGACAATTTCCCAAATGTATTAAATCTGCCCCCAATACAGTAAAATTATTTTTTCAAATGAATTTTAAATATTTCTATCTAAAAGTTTATGAACGATTGCTTTCTTTTTTGGACTCATTTTGGGACTCTTTGAATCTTTATCTTTGCTGGCAATAAATTATTATTTTCATAACACTTAGAGCACAAGATTCATTCATTTGCTATGAAATGGGAGAACTATTAATT